AGATGTTGGAGGAGTAGCTTGAAAAAAAAACAACCGAGCTTCTCTGCATTTCGTTGTCCTGAAACACAACCGCTGAATGGGACTCCACACGCAAAGCCCAAATAAGTAACACGAAGCACTTCACCGGCCTCGTCACAGCGTTGCCTCGAATCACCACGGCAGAGTTGTTCAGCACACTCAGCGATGAGGAGTATCTAGGTCCTTCAAGATATATCAGCGTACCGTCACCGCCAGCCATGTGAAACGTGTTGCCCACCACCGCAAACACGGAGTACCACGACACGCTCAGCGCATACTTGACAACGTAAATGGCGCTTGACGATGCCGTCACGCTCTGAAAAACATTGCCACTGAGCACCACCGCGGAGTCGTTGCTGATCGCCAGTCCATTCGTCGCAACACACGACGGCCTCCTAATGTCCAAACCCGGCCGAGGGATCAGCCTCGTGACTGTGAAGCGGTTCCCGCTGATCGTGATGTTCGTGTGCGGTGGAAACACACCCTCCGGGCTGAGCAGCGCGTCACTAAATGTGTTGCCGGTGACGAAGATGCTCAGCGCCCCAACAGCGGCGTGCGCGTTGCCCAAAAGCAACAGCACGGCACCGTCCCTCCACGTGCATCCATCAAACGTGACATTCACCACGTCGCCCGTCATCGCCCCTATCAGCACCGTCAGGCACATGTCGCCCCCGCTGAACGTCACGTTGCGGTAGCACAGCCACGACAGACCGCCACCCACTGCCTGCGCAAACTCGGGGTACACCATGTCGCTGATGCACTCACCAACTGGCGGCGGTGGCGGCGGCGGCGGCGGTGGTGGTGGGAGCGGCGGTGGTGGCGGTGGTGGTGGTGGGAGCGGCGGTGGTGGCGGTGGTGGTGGTGGGAGCGGCGGTGGTGGCGGTGTCAGTGGCGGTGGCGGGCCAGCAGGCACAGGCGCCGGGACGCACACATCTCCGTGCCCTCCAGCAGCGCACTGGCACTTGCAGTCAATAACCGCCGTCGTCAGCGGAGCAAAGCAGTCGCCGTCCTTCGTGCACTCCCCACACGCGGTAACCGTCGTCACGTTGGTGATGCCGTTAAGCTCCAGTTCAGCCGCCGTCGTCACCTTCCGTCCCGCGACCGTCAGACACCCAGCAACGAACCGGTAGCCGGCGTCAGCCTGAGATAGCAGAGGTACCGACAACCCCGTCGAGCCCATCTTGCAGCCCGTCAGCGTCACAGCACTGCTGCCGTCGATGTTCACAGTAGTTATTAGGGAGTAATGAAACATCGCACCCACTCCCACGTCGTTGTCACGCCAATCCAGCCAGCTTGAATGGCGGACGGTAAAAAAGCTTAGTGAATAAATGGCGTTGGACACGGAGCCGCTGTTCCCCACCACGCGCAACACGCTGTGTTTCGACACGCTCAATCCGTGGCGCAGATAAAGAAGGCTTTTTCCGGAGGACATCGTATTGTTGAGCAGCGCAAAAACGGAGTGTTCACTCACACTGAGGATATTCACGTAAAACATATGCATGTACCCAGCGAAGCTGCAGTACTGCACATACAGCGAGCTGCCATCCAACAGCGTCAGCGTCCCGGTCGAGTATAAACCATACCCACCGTACATCGTTGCACGCGCCTTGACGTTGCTGACCAAAAAAGAGGAAGCACTCAGCACGATGTTCACCAGTAAAAATACGCCGAACTTGTTCCTCCTAGTGTCGAGCAGCTGGACCTCAGAGGACTGCACCGCATCAACCTCCGTGACGGCAATGTCGCAGTGCTGTGGAAGGGCAGCTGCAAACACAACAACGGAAGACCGCATTACAGTCTGGCCCACGCGGATCAGGACGCCGGCTGACTCGGCCGCCCCAGCACCCCCAACAAACTGCAGCGCAGCACCCTCACGGAATGTGCATCCAGTAAACGTGATGTTAACGGGGAGATGCAGCGGCATGCTGTCAAAGGAAAACGTCAGCACAGCACCCATGCCGCTGAATGTCACACCCGCGTAGCAGTGGTGCGTCTTCCACATGTTCAGCGCGATTTTCGTCAGCGTCTGGTTCACCACGCAGCTCGTGTCGCCGTCGACGGCTCTCTCCGCCACGGGCGGCACAACCGCGTCGGGCACCTCGAAGGGAAGACACGACGCGCCATGCCATCCGTCCTTGCAGCTGCACGAGCACGAGCTGCGGTCCACCGACTCCGTCCCGGGCATGTAGCACGCCGCGTCGTCGTTGCATGTGCCACATCCGAACACCACCATGCCCTCCGGAAACACACCTTCGTACAACGACACCTCCTCACCGCCCTGCTGGTTGCACCCAACCACAAACCGCGCGGGTAACTTCACGACAATGCTCGATGGGAGAAATTTGGCGAAGGAAACCCTCGAGCCCACCTGACGGTTGTTTGCAAGCACCACGGTGGTGCCGCTGTCCGATAGCTGAATATTGTGCTGGAAATAAGAAATAATTAATACTGAGGCTGCACTCACGCTGTTGCCCTCCACACGCCACTGCGCCCCACCCTCGAGTGTCACAGAGCCATACAAATACGACAGCGCAGAAGTCGAAACCTTCGTGCTGCCAATAAAGGTGCAGTCCGCCACTCGCAGCAGCCCCGCGGTGCTCACGGAAGTATCCCCAAAAATATAAACGCCATTGACCGAGCTCATCGTGGTGTTCTCAACGACAAAGTAGCCGCCGTTCCTCACATCAATAGCATTAACGCAAACAGATGATTCCACACCCTGACCCTCCTCCGTTGTGATCAGCGTATTTCCCTTCACGATGACCCCGCCACCATCAACGGCAGCATTGGAAATATATAACGCGCAATTACTCCCCTCCAAGTTGTTGTCAAGTAGCAGCAGCGTCGAGTTCACACCAAGAAAAACCTTTAAAAATAAAATGGCGTGGCTCGACGTCGTCTCAAGCGTACTGCCCACCACCATTATCTGGGAGCTCACGCCAAAATCGCCCTCAAACTCCAAATCACCAGAATCCAGCAACGACGATGCCACGCTCACGTGCACACGTGCGCCACTCCCCTTGATCGACAGACCCACGAGGACGCACTGCAGCAGCGTGATGTTCAGTGTCCGTTGTGATGCGTCGAAACGCGACAGGTACAGCACAATCGCGGCGGTGAAGGTCACGTTGACGAAGCACAGACCACGCACACCGGGATCAGGATAGTCCACGGAGCTGATGCTGCCACCGTGCACGCAGCGGACCTCCGTGCCCTTCGCATAGGGGAGCGGGAGCGGCCCAATGCCGTCCGGAACCGCAGCCGGCAGACACGTGTCTCCGTAGCCGCCAGCAGCGCACACACACTCACAGCCGCTGATGCTGCTCGTCCTCGCAGCAAAGCACACGGCGTCCACCGTGCACGCACCACAGTCCAGCACCGTCACGGGCGTCCCAATATTGAGGTCTTCTTGGTAATCCGTCACAGGTGAGCCCCTTGCGTCGTTGCACACGCCGTAGATGGTCGGGCGCGCGTCGGATGGTGGTGACCAGTTGCTTGTCATATGCGCAATGGTTGACGAGTACGAGCCGTACGTGAAGTTGTTGTCAAGTATCGACCACACACTCCGATCGCGGAACGCAACGCCGTTTTCGTTGGCCACGTACACAACGTAGGCGGTGCGGAACTCGTTGTCGCGGTGCACCAGCCAGCTGCCGTCAGCCACGGTCAGCGTGTTTGCAATGAGCATGGCGAAACCGAGACGGAACTCGCTGGACACAACCTGCAGCACGCTGCCGCCAGCCACCACAACGTCCCCAAACACACACGCGCCTTCGTACATGTTAATGCTCGGCGCACTCCACAAGCTGTCCTGTATGGAGAACACAGAGCCACTGCTCACACGCAAATCCGACGCAAGGGCGTACATCACGTGCGTCCGCGACCTGACGACGCAATTTTCCATGTAGAAGGCGCTGGACAGGTTCACACCGAGGCCGCGCTCCACGAGGATCGCAGCGCACAATTCCCCGCCACACGCCAGCATCGACCGCGTCATGACAAACCGCGTCGACAGAAGCCGGACGCCGTCCAAGACAAGCGCGGGGCCGTACCGAAATCCCGCATGGCCAGGGGTCGTCGGCATGTACCGCAACCCGCCAACCGTCGCACGCAGCGTTGAGTTCGCCAGCAGCAAACTCGAGTTCGGCGGCATCGTGCCATGCAGCACGATCGTGCCCTCCACCGACGTCACATTCGTCATGTTGACGAGGGCGTGTGGCATCAGGCGCGCCGTGCTCTCGCCGAGGCCACCAATCCGCAGCTGCGCGCCGCCCGCAAGCACGCAGTGGCGCAGCGTCACGTTCAGCGAGTCAGCGAACGCATCCATCAAGCGCAGTTCCACCGCCACAGTGATCGGCCCGCTGAACACCACCGAGTCGAAGCACGCCGTCGCACGCCCGCCGCCAACCGTCACCGACTCCGTCAGCGTCACGCCACTCACGCAGTCTCCCGCACCGCCACCACCACCGCCGGCCCTCGCAACCGGCACGTCGAACGGCAGGCACGCC